GACATTTCAGAATACCAGAGAACTTTACAGAATGAAAGGGACTCTAGGAAATCTGCGCCCTTTGTTCGTTGCTTTTGTGGGTAATGGTGGGAGATCAGGACGACCATTATTAGAGTCAGAAGCCTTGATACTCCAGCGCGGTAACAAAAAACAATGTAGGACAATGTGGACGCCACCTATATAGCGACGAATTTTTTGTTTTCCTCGAGTCCTACATGGAATTATTTTCCCATTTATCTGAGGGAGAAATTGAATTTTCTTGTTAACTCAATTATATTGGGTTGTCCGGAAAATAATGCAGGATTTTAAGTTTTCATTAAAAAAAATCTATATAAAATATTCTGTTTACGTTTACAGGATTACTCATTNGGAAATTATTTTGATTAAAGAACATTGCTTTAAAGTAACTAGTTTCTTTTTTTTTGTTTAATACCAAAATCCTGCATTATTTTCCGGACAACCCAATATCTAACTTGAAAATATGCAATTGCATTAATGCAAAGAATGGCGAATATGTCGTTTTGTTGTAGCACCAAACACACTTCTTTAGAATTAATTTATTAATAAGCAATCATATATACTACTTTATTTATGGGGACACTAATTAATATTTATGGATGTGTAATGAGTGATGTACAACCTAACGAATATAGAAATTTTTTTCATTTTTAATTTTAATTTTTTACGTGTGGTGGTTAGTTTCTCTCAACACAACACGCAAGAATGGCACAATTACACAGAAGACAAACATTTTGAGCCCTGAAGATGATCTCAATAAAGATCGAAACGTTGGCACGATAAAGCAAATGTTTTTCTGGAACCTACATCACACCAGACCGCATCTCACGATTTCTGAATAATTAATTTTTTACTATCATTTTCATCAAGATAAAAAAGATCCAAATTCAATAAATAGTAAAGTATATTTCTATTTTTAAGTTAGTAGTGAAAAGATTTATACATGTTTTAAATTACTGTTTACAAAGTCTTACTGTAGGGGCGTCGGTGGCCGCAACAGTTTAGACTTCGCTCATCACGGTAAAGTAAAGGTCCCGGGTTCGAATCCAGCGGCCCTGCATTCGAACCGGACATACTTACAAATGTTTTTTTTTTCAAAAACACCGGCAACTCGAGGACTGATATAACCTCTGCTATTGCAAACCCTCGTACAAAAAGGGAAAAAACGTCTTACTGTATGAGTTTATTAAAACTAAATCACCACTGTTAGTATTTTTGGATCAAAATTAAACAATAGAACATAGTGCACAAAGAAGCCCAGTAGGATGATAGTTATTACAGTTGCAGAGAAGGTAATTGAAGGTTTAATAATAAAACGAATCAAAACAGCATTTTAAAACGACCTAAAATCTATAATTTTAAACTTTTCAAACTAATTATTATTTATGCATATAAATGAAGTTACAGGGTTAAATTTCAATACTGACATGGTGGATTCACTAAATAAAACGTGGTTTAGTGTCACTAGAACGAGGTTTCTATCTTGACTTTTTCCTGAGATATTAAAATGTTTGTGATTTCAGTCTAAAATCAGATTTTTTCACATAAAACGTAATTTCTTTGCTGCATTAAAACACAAATCGGACATTTATTTCGCAAACTACATTAAATGTTTCACTACATAACATTTTCGTTCAAAAAATCGCTTCCAAATTTGTTTAGTGATTGGCAGTAATGACATTTATACCTGTAACGCCCCGTATACGTATTATATATATATAAAACACTATGGGTTTTTCGATGCATCATCCAAAAAACAAAGCTCTACTTGCTTAAATGGACTTGCAAGTCGTTTCTATCTATTCATGCTCATACATGGAGTCTACGACAAATCATCCGTTTTACAGGGACACAGATTAAGAAATGACCCATTTGAGCATTCGAGGATACCACGGTACACATGGACTTTTTCTTGTCTGCCAACCATCTAACTAAAATTTCTCAGTTGTACTAATTGCAACTACAAACGCTTCCATAACATGTTTTATAGCATGCTGCAATTGGTTTCGGATTGGATTCTGGAACGGTCGGATTGGTCGCAATTTGAAACTTTAATTACGAACCCTAAGAAATAATTAGAGTACTACTTGTTCACGCTCGCTTCTCGCTGGTAGAGACATCCTCTAAGAAAAAATTTCAAATTCCCAACAGATTAGTTGTTCATCACTAGCATCGCGTAGCTGTGGGGTGGAGCTAGCCGTGGGGAAAAGCTTAAACCCGTATTTTAGTCGTTGCCGATCATTTTGGTCTGCCTGACAAATAAAACAAAAAGAAAGATGAAAAAAACAATAATTATTATTTTGTTGCTTAAAGTCCCTTTGAATACTAAATCGTCATAATAAAGTCTTAACTAGTATTCCTGTCCGACACAAATAACTCACTGCAACCAAAGATGCACCCCCCACAGATCCTCTGCCTTTTCATTTTTCGTAATCAGATTACCTTTACCGTAACTCTCTGTGCCTTTTTGTTTTTGCCGCTCCTACGCCATATCTGGCTCTTTCCAGCATGACTTCTCTGTCGTAACCATATGAAAGATGTGCATGTCATTGCCACCGTCCACATCTTTCTCGGTTCCTAGGATAATATCATTGTATTCCAGAGGACACTGCACTAGATATGCAGGTACCCCGCGCTGGAAAAAAGAGCTTTTTTAAAAAGTATATGCGCTAGAAACATGAACCACAAATGTACTGTATTAAAAGAAACATTTAAGTTTAGTAATACCAAAAATTGAATAATGCAATAATTTCCTAGGTTCAATGTACCATGAAAGGAAGTAATCAAATAGACGAGACATGACAGTTTAAAGGGAAGGCGTGTGTCAGATAGAATAAAGAAGGGCATTCCAGAGGCAGGATGAAAAGATGGGAAAGGTAGTTCTGTGTTTAGTGGGATAAAAGTCAGAAGTGCGGGAACGAGCACTTAGGTAATGTACCTAAAATCTAAAGGTTAGGAAATCATAAGGAGGGTAGTGTGAAGATGTCATTTGGTATAGGAAGTAGAGTCTTCGGTGGGAAGGGTACAACAGCCAGAGTACGTATTAGTCATTTGGGAAGTTGAAGAAAAAGCGTTAAAACCATTGCATTAAGCGCTTAAGTCTATCATCAGTCCCCACCCCATAGAGTACCCCGAATGATTATACTACACATCCGTAGTCAAAGTGTGGGATAATACTAGAGCACAACATAATAAGTTTACTGGTACTAATAAAAAAAAAAAGGTGTCTGGCACGACAGAACTGATTGATAGAAAACGGCGGGATATTGGAAAATAGGAAGTTTCCAAGATAAGGTCTGATCAAGAACAATCTCAAAGTTCTTGACAGTGGGGCACAAAAATAGTGTGATTGTCAATGGTCAAAAGGAGGGATAAAAGTATTGGTGGAGGGAACAGAAACGAAACTCAATAGCCTTCACATGAAGATTATGCCCATTTTCAACGGTCCAAGAGCTAATTGAGTTTAAGTTCTCCTGAATTCCTTCAATTACAGATTGGAAGTCAGGAGGTGAAAGGAAGTATTAATTTGTGAATAATCTGCATAAAGTTTAATATTAATAAATAAGGATTATTAAAAGTTATGTTTATATAAGTACAAAACGCTTTGTTTATGGAATTAATTTATTCAGAGCTTTATTGTAATTCAATTATGTCACGTTTTAGCAAGAATTTGTTGTATATGGCTTAATATGCTATACATAAGGCTTAAAAAAGCGAGAATTTGAAATAAAATATTGCACCAAAGTCCATTTAAGCAGGTGGTGCATTGTTTTTCCTATGGTGCAGTGCACAATGCCCTATATATAATCAAAATCGTTTGAAAAAATTGAAACTTTTACCTAGCTATGCCTATATTTAAGTTGCAGTCAAAATATCGGTAGTACAAAACCTCAAGTAGATATAATTGTTAAAACTGGCTTCTCGCCATCATCATCACATGATCTCTTCTGAGAGATTCAGAAATTACAAATAACATTCACATCCTCCACTGAAGATGGCTAAACGCGTCTGAGTAACTTAAGGCAATACAGCGATAATAGGCAGACCAAAATGACAAGTAACGATTAAATTCCAGGTTCATTACGTTACATGCCGATAAAAAAATCTCATAATCAATTATATATTTATTAAATTATAAAAGAAAAACGTGTAGTAAATTAGCATTAGCGCATCTTTGGAAATAGCACATTAGGCGATGTCAATTTTTTCAATAACTGTTATTTTAAAAATTTATTAAAATCACTACTTTTCGTGGACTGCTTGACCAATTAATATCATTTAATTAATTAAGGTTTTAAGTAGAGATAAAAAAGTCAGTGTCCCGAGCGGGATTCGAACCCACGACCTTCGGCTTGAGACGCCGCTACTCTACCACTCGAGTTATCGTGAATGCGATCCAATCGGGCACTAACTTCCCATCTCAACCGCACCTTTTGAATTTTCCCTCCTTTTGGCCATTTTTCAAATGTCGTGTAATCGATTTGATTCTCGGCGACAGGTGAAATGGCCACGGAGAGGTTTAGTGAAGTATACTTTCGTGGGTTCGAATCCCGCTCGTGACACTGATTTTTTATGTCAACTTAAAACATTAATTAATTAGAAATTTATGTTCAGTCAAAGATATATTCTTAACTTCGGTCTGCAATAAAGAAACAAATAATAGCAATATAAAATATAAATTCTCTTAGCAGTTTAGTATTTATTAAACATACAGCAAAAAAATTAATTAATGTGTATTTAGAAATTGGTCAATGTTAATTATTACTTGCTTTCACTCATTCTAATATAGTTTTCTATTCAAATTCGAAAATGGTAATGAGGTTTAAGAACAGAATACTCCTGTTTCAGTCTATATAAATACGCTACGTACACTACTTAGCCATGTAACGACACCCGAGATTTCACATATTCATATATGTTTAGATATACATCCTCGGGGGATTGGTTGGAAAATCTGGAAATCCCTTGCGTGTTCTACTTACGGGTGGTCTCCTCTCTGGAGGTCGAATTCTTCGAAAGCGAGCCGCACCTTGCCTCCGTCTCTGCAAAACAATTCGAATAGTTCAGTTAAAAAATTAACACACGGTTCGGATTAAAGGTTGTAGCGTTCTCTCGGTTTGAACGGTTGGATTGGTTTTGGACGAAAAAAGGGCGTAACAAGTGCTAAAGGGCTGTCACAACCGTTCGATCTACGCTGGATCTCTAGGGGTTTCTCTTTAATCTAAAAAAGACCCTTCGCAAAATCTATTGTGCACTGCTGACATCGATATAACCATATGTCTCAGCTAGTTTAGATTTTACATAACAACAACATAATAATGTAACTGACACTCAGCACAGTTCATTTTTCTTCCGGTTTTTATACAGAACTAAAAGATTTGGTTCTTATTTACATTTATTGATAACACACAATTATTACCCATTGACATGAGTTATTTTATTATGAATTAAATAAAAGTTGCTTTTTACAATATACATCCACATAGAATATATGAATATAAACTGACAATTTGCAAACGAAACTATGTTCATACATCTTCCTTTATCGAATTGTAAATAGTACATTACCTTTATCAGACAAAGTTTAAGGATTAGGAAAAAGACACAAAAAAACCAGACAGAAATAACATAATGATTACCCATTTTAAATCAAAGAATGTTCAAAATGAGGACAAACCTAGATTACTGTCGATGCTAAATCTAATGTGAAGGAATAAAGATCAAAGTTTCCAAACACACTGCCAAAGCTGGTATTAAATTAGCAAATATACCAGCAAAAGAGGGGCCAATGAAAGGATTAATCATCATACAAACAGCCAGAATTTTCAGTGAAAAAGTGAAATAAATTGGGTTATATTATTTAATAAACGTTAAATCTAACTAAATGTTTTAGGATGTCCGATATCCGTTAGGATGAAACGATCCGAAGAAATTTGATTTGATTTCATACACGTGTTTGATTGAACCAAAAATATGTTTTTTAATAACAAAAATTCTAAAAACTATTTCAAAACAACTTCATAAATTTTCCATTGAATCACTCTCACTTGGAAAGGATTTCCTTTAACTTTTTATCCAATGAAGAAATAAGGGTCTTCATTTTCATATTGATTTCTTACATACTATAATAGCTGACATTAAATTGGCATGTATAGAAATGAGGCTAGAGGCTGGAGTAAAAAAAAAGCAAATGAGAAAATTATATTATTGCCGTTAAAAATAAAATAAAATAAAATAAATAAAAGATAATAATGAGGACAATATGACTTAGTATGATTTCATAATTTCATAAAATCAAACCTAGTGTTTTTGAATGAGTATCGAAGATGTACAATGAAAACACACAGGAAATTTATTATTGTTATGCATTATTTGAGTAATGCAATAAAGTTGTAATTAGGGCAACCCTGTCAAATTTGGTACCAGAAGACTAATCTCATTACCAAATCACTGAAGTAAAGAGGCAATCATATTGAACAGAAAGAAATTAAACACGCCAACAGGTAAATTTATTTCCTATATAAATTATGAACAGGTGACTGTCTACTATGAAGAGAGAGAACATATCCTATGCAACTGCCCCACAATAGCTACCAAAAGGTTATGATTTCTAGGAAAGACGTTGCAAAGACAAACTAAGAAATCACACCCTTAAGACGATGTAGTAAACATGGGCCTGAGATTTCAATAGGATGTTAAAAAATTCCCTGCCTCAACTTTCAAAAATCTATTGCTGCAATCACTTTGCTTTTTAACATTTGAAAACAGATTAGTTTGTCGATTTTCAAACTTTGATTCGAACATCTAATTAGGAACGATAATCCACAAATGATAGCGTACCAATCCTGGCTTATTCAACATTACAAGTTGAGTAATGTAGCATTATCGACTACCGAAATGTGGCCTGATCGATGATGATGTTCACTGAATAGTCAAGCTTGAAATGAAATTGCATTTTATACATTCACCTTCCCATAGCAAAATTCTCCATCAGCCACATCTAGTTTTATTTTAATTAGTTACTCTTCACTGAAAAGACAAAAACAATTTTTTTACATTTTTATTCACTAATAAATTGAAGTACGCTTAGGTATTTTCATAGTTCAATAGAGGATTATTCAATCAAAACCATTATCCGTATAAACAAGAAGGAATGAAAAATATTTTCTAAATTTCTAGGAATTTATTAATGTAATCATCGCAGGATCTCCTAGGATAACTAAGCATTTTAAACATTATTATATGAAATGTAAATATGGTTCATTATTTGTATTGTACGATAAATGACTTTTATAAGTTTCATGTATTTTTAATTATTTGGAAGTCAACAAGGATACTGTTAATGCATACAATTATAACGTTTAATTAAAATATTTCAATTTTTTATTAATATAGTATATACCGAGTAAATGTAACTTCTACTCACCTAAAAACGAAGTATTCTTGTACAGTTTCCTCAGAAACATAAATGTTTATTTAAAAATGAATATTTCTAGGCTGAATACTGTTTTTTTGTTTGACCATTTTCGTCACCAATTAATTAGGTGGGAATAATGTAAGGAACGGTTAGATTAGGGTTAGGGACATGTTAGATTATGATATGTAGGGTTTAGGTAAAAGACGGTTTAGGTTACGTTAGGTACAGTTAGTTTAAAAATTTTTAACGATGCATTTTTCTTAAAATCTCTGATCAGGTAAGATCTAGTTACGTGGAAATGATTTAAGGATTATGGTTAGGATTATTATGTTGGGAAAATCACTAGATTTCGTGGTCCACTTGACCAATTAATACTTTTAATTAATTAAAATTTTTAGTTGAGATAAAAAAGTTAGTGTCACGAGCAGGATTCGAACCCACGACCTTCGGCTACATACGTCGCTGCTCTTGGCAAAATGGCAAAAAAGGAGGGAATATTCAAAAGGTGGAGTTGTAGATGGGAAGTTAGCGTCCGAGTGGATCGAGGTCACGATAGCTCAAGTGGCAGAGCAGCGGCGTATCTAGCCAAAGATCGTTGGTTGAAATCCCGCTCGTGACACTAACTATTTTATATCAACTAAAAACCTTAATTAATTGAAGATATGTTAGGAAAAGTTTTTAACCAATTTTTATGTAGGATTGGGGACGTAGAGACGGTTTAGAATGGTTTTCTACGATACGGGGAAAATACGCGAGTGAAAGCGTTTTAGCTAAATTTTACTTGAATAGGTTGGTTGTTGTTATACAGGGTGCCTATTCTCAATTTAAATTATCAATAAAATTCATTTCCAACTTATTTGAACTCTTGGTGCATTGTAGAAAATTTTATTTAAATTATTATTCGGTTAGAAAGGTATAAACCATAACATAAAAACGTTCAGATATGGTTGTAAAAATTTATAAAATCTTTATAAGATAACTACATTAAGGTTTAATATGCCATGTCTTCTTACCTCGCTGAAATGGTGTAGGTGCATCTGCTGTTTCTCGGGTAGCTGGACGGATATCTAGGCGAATACAGCTGTCCTGATTTCCCAGTTTGTATGATCTGGTAGTCGCAGGTACCGAAACTGCTCCCTGGCATGGAGTACTTGCCTGGAAAGTTTGATAGGATCAATTACACTTGTATATTTAAAGAGGAAAAACCTTTTATGTCATCGGCTATAAGATGGATTTGTTTGGGCAGGCGAAGGTTCCCCATCAGACAAAGTTAGCCCTTATCGGTCTAAGTTAGCTGAAGTTAGATAAGGACACAATATCTTCTTCAATAATCAGCGTATCAATTCAAATAATTCAATTTGTATTCTTAATGCGTTGTGATAACTCACCTAAAAGCTTGTAAACATAAAACATAATGACATTAATAAAATAAATTAAATAATTGAGCTATAAAAATAAAAGGGCTCTACTAAAACCAAACTTTAAACTATGTATACAAGTATATAGAGAACCATAAATGCTTTGAATTGGACTATTTTAACCAGTAAATTTTAATACTTCTTCAGTCACAAACACACCACAACAAAAATAATAATAATAATAAGCTTTCTGCCTTTAAAAAAACCTCAATGACCTCCGTTTTTTTATATTATCAGAGGAAATTCGATCGTGCGTAATCCCGTGTAAATTATTAATAACTGTTTTTCAATATATTATATAATAATAGTATAAGTTTAATTAATAATTTAAATCGATGATGTGATCTGAAAATATAGTGTATAATTATGATTTATCAAAGTAAAATCTATCAGATTCAAAAGGCAATTCTCAAACTTATTAAATATTTTATTGTTTTAACCACAAAAATATAATTTACATTAAATGTCCCTCCCTTAGCTTGCATAAGAGAAAATTATGTGTGTAGAGAAAGTAATCAATCATAATTTTGCGAGAGACTAATTTAGGTCGTGGGGGAAAAGGAGTGCCCTAAATTTTTCCCAAAGAAACAGCTCCATTAATTCTCGGCAATTTTCATTCTTTAGGCGAGTCCGCTATCTCAACGTTTATTTTCATCGTGATAATATCAACACCAAATAAATTTGAAAACTAGTTTCATTTCCGTTTATGACATTTCATTTGAGCATTTCATATTTTTATTACAATTTATCCTAAAATTTAATTTACACCTTTGTGTTAAATAAAATGTTTCTTTCAAATTGCAGAAAATATTTTTATTGTAGTGACTAAATGTTAAATCTATTAAACATAAAATGATATAATTAACTAACATGAAAATTCATTTAATTATATTTTATTTAACATGTTTTTATCTCTTTTCAACGTAATAACGGTAATATTTTTTTTAATCACAATAACGTGTCGAGATTGTTTTTAACCTCGAAAACAATCGTAAAAATAGTAGATAAAACGAAACCAATTTAATTTTTAACCAATTAGTTGGAGATTTTTGTCTGCACTATTGTTTTTAATTATACTGATGAAAGTTCTCTTTCATTTAGCGAAAACATTTGTAAAGTAAAATAGCGTTTTATATTACAGAAAAATTGTTTAAAGTTAAAACGTAATTTGGAATAACGCGTCTGGAACAACTCTGAATATTTTTTTTATTATGGTAAAAGAGTTTTGATTGTTAACTATTTAAGATTTAATAACATACAAATCCTTTCAAATAAAACGATAACATTAAGGTTCTATTTATTGATACAAATTGTGTTACTCTTCCTGAGACTAAATTATTTGTGTAAATAATTAATTAAAATTAGGCTAAAATGTATATACTTTAAAAAATACCGACTTGTAGTGTTCTTATTGAAATAATTCAACGATTAAAACAATAATAAAATTTACAGAGCTTTGCATAATTTGTTTTTATGTTGCTCATGCATTTTGATAGTTTGTGATGTTTTTAATGTTTAATTACTGATAAAGTAATTCAATACCTTTTGTTTTTTGTAATTTATTATTGCTTTATTGATAATGATGATAAATAGGCGATAGTAGGAAAGTGGTTGATATTCCACAAGCTCTGGATTCTTTCAGCTCACTGTAATATTTCTTGTTCCTTAGTTCTTTCTTATTGACTCGACCCTACTTTTACGATGTAGAAAGTCTGACTATCATTGTTGCTATTATTTTTCCCGGATCTTCTTCGTAGCATCTAGATTATGTCTTCATCAAGCGATAACATTCGTAATTGAGTTCTTCCATCTTCGTTGCATTACATACAAACTGGATGACCGATAAATTTTCCCACGATGTGTTTTCTCAGTTGGTTGCGACCTATCATCCTATTACTCCTTCAAAATTTATGTTGTCAAACTGGTGTAATTTTTTGCTCGTTTTGACGATGACTTTTAATTATGAGTTTTCTGTTATGGCATAAACAATTCGTACATGATAGAAGCACTCATTTCTGTGGGAACAATCTCGCCACTTCAGCTTCGACTTTTTGCGTGGAACGTGCAGACCTGTACGCCTCGATAGGTTTGTATTGCAACTTTTGGAACTTATACTAAAACTGCGCGACCTGTGTGTCAAGTGTAAGTGTCGGACTTAAGCGCCGTTATGCCTTAGAGAAACTATTTACGTTACAATCATTAATTAAAAGTATTACATCAATAAATCGAATTTATTATTAGTAAAATTAACCGCAGTAATTTCTAAATGATTATTAATTATTATGAACACGTGTATATACGCTACATTAAAATAAAATCACAGTTTGTAATGATAAATAAATTGTAATAATCGAATTAAAATTATTAATAAAATAAAATAAACAGCTATATATTAGCAATATCAATTTATGAATAATTAATGATATTCTAGTCTGAAGTAAACGTTAAAACATTACAATATGTTAGGCAAAAAAATGTTTTTATCTAAGAAATCTTTACGCGTATAGTGTTATTTAGCATGAAAATAAAGTTACTATAATATAATAACAAATAATTTAAAAATTTATACGTAAAACGAGTTTGAATAAAAATTATACGGTTAATCAAAAACGTCCATTGTTATTGATTACTTACTCGTATCGACCACGAAACCTAATAAAAAGTAATAACAAAAATTAAGTATACTGCACTAAAGTTTTCGTAGTCACCATGACCAAATAAATTCTTTTCATGTAATTAAGGTTTTGGTTGAGATAAAGAGTACAGAGTGATAAGATAGAATGGATCAAAGTCACGATTGCTGAATTGGTAGAGCAGCGGCGTATTTAGCCGAAGGTCGTGGGTTCGAATCCCGCTTGTGACACTGACTTTTTTATCTCAACCAAAACCTTAATTAATGAAATCTAAATATGAACAATTGGACCCTCTTTTGCAATTGTATTATTTATAAACTTGCTAATGTAAAAAAAGGTTTCAGCAACAACAATCATTAACGGGGTGAAAAGGAAAACGAGCATCTTTTTAAGTAAAAGTCCCATTAAACTCTTACGTTGCACGACCTCAATACAGCTAAGTTCACCAATCAGAAGAACAAACTAAAGCGATAACAATCAGGCCTCCTCTAATTCCACAGTAATTGAGTTTCTTTCGAACTATTGAAAACCTGGAAGAACTGAAAATGAACCTCCTATTTAAACAACCTAACGAATAGAGCTTCAGGTTTGATTACTGGGAATAACGTAATCACAAATCATTTTTAATAATAATCATTTTTATATTTCAATGTATAAACAAAGAGTTAGAGAGCAAAATTATTTATCAAACAAATAGTTTTGTCCGTTTCGCATGAATGATCGTCATTCTACACTTCACATGAAAACGGACGGATGTTGTAACGTTAAAATAACTAGGGTGTTATTTTAGGCGGTTACAGCTACAGCTTGAACTAAAACTTCGCGACGAATGAAAATACGCATATAAAATGAACAACACAAAAAGATGTTTGGCTTTTGGTTAAAAACCCTTTTTCATTGATTATACTAGCTCGATATGCGTCTTAACAAGACAAATGTTACATAAATCTTTATCACTTTCTTTTCGTAATATACAGAAACAATGTCTGATTGAAATCCAACTCAATATTGATTTTCTGTAACAATAAAAACTTTAGTTTTTAATTTCTCTTGAAGACGAAAAACAGCCAAAAAAATAGATGTTTGATCTATCTACATGCGTAAAGTGTGGTGTTTAGTGACTGTTAGTCAATGATTATTCCGAGATTGTGATGTGCGGTGTGGTGTGACATAGGTTTTCGAAAAATATTTTCTTTATCGTGCCAACGTTTCGATCTTTATTGAGATCATCTTCAGGCCCTAGGATTTATAAACATTGTTTAAATTTTACAAATACATGTAGGGTGGGGAAAAAATTATAAATTTATACAATGCTAGAAAATTTTAGATCAAAAAAATGAATTTATACAAAGATGGAAAATTATAGATTTAAAAAAGAATGATTTTATACAATGGTAGAAAATTTTAGATTAAACAAATTGAATTTATAAAATGCTAGAAAATTTTAGATTTAAAAAAGAATGATTTTATACATTGCTAGGAAATTTGAGATTTAAAAAACGATTAATTTTATACAATGCTAAAAAATTTTAGATTCAAAAATTAAAAAAATTCATAATTTTTTTCCACATCCTATATGTATTTGTGAAATTCAAACAATGTTTATAAATCCCAGGCCCTGAAAATAATCTCAATAAAGATCGAAACGATGGCACGATTAAAAAAAAAATGTTTTTCTTCTAAAACCTACGTCACACCAGACCGCATCTCCGAATAATTATATGCATAATGTTTTGTCATTTAACTGTAATTTAAAAAGACATTAACTTCATTAAATAATTTGAATATGAAACCGCTATAAATAAGAAATTTGAATACTATAGCGAAATTGAGGGGTACACACATCGGTCCGACCCGAAGGATCATAAAACAATATGCACTTTAGGGGAAATAATTCCTAACACACTTTCGTCAAACGTGGGTAATTTGCAGATATTGCACACACTCTTTATCTTTCCCTTCTCTCGACTGTTGAGTCGTGTTTCTGCCTGTATACTGATAACAGAAGAAACTAGACCCATGTCGAAATTCGCTGTCTTCATGTTTACTATTCTTAAGTAAATCCATTATGAGAAATGAGGATTAACTAATTTTTTGTTTTAGT